TGCAGATTTACATGTATACACATGAACTTGTCCTTATTTCATAACGGAATATTCTATTTTAGCGAAATTTTCCTTAAAAAAAAATACCGGAAGTATTATCAAATTTAGAAATATGTTTATATATACCTGTATGTAGATGTAATAATAAGACTAGAAACGCTAAATGGTATTTCTAAGAACGATAATTCTACGTCTTATTTCCTTAAAGATAGAAAATTCAATTCATCGCCAAAGTCGTTATACCGCCATGATTTCTAAATTACAAACGGTGGCGGTTTATCGAGAATTAACTATATAATGCTTGAAAAAAAGGAATGAGACAATGTTGAATTTCATATCCAAACGGGGTTCACATATTCAGGTCTCACATACTTTCTGACAACTGTGCGCGACCCTTTCGCACTGTCAAAATATCGCTTAAAATTCAATACAACAGGACATTTTAGATTAAAAGAATTTTGACGAATTTCAAATCAATATACTTAGCGCTTCCCAGTACTTCCAGTACTTTGATTTCTTCATGTCATCATGTTCCTCACAACGACTAGATCAGGCTTTGTATTATTTGTAAGAAACCATGTCTAGAATTATATTTTAAATCAATTTTATTCTCAATTTTATACATGTATATTAAAGTTTAATTATAAATATTTCTGTAACTTTGATTGGAATTTTGCCTTTTACTAGCTGCTACATAATCAACATTGATAAATCCCTAGGGAATCAATTCAGCTTTATCTAACACAGCTGTTTGATCTAGGGAAGTGTGCTCAACTTTATTAGCTCTCCAGTATATGCAGGTACAAGGAATGGCAGAAATCACTGTATTTAATTAAGACAGGAATCCAGTCGATTCCAGTGTTAAGTTACTCGGGCGACAAATTTGTATTCAGTTTCATTTTGATCATCATTGCAAAACCATGGCAACAATATACTATCCTTTCCTATTCTGTCCATGGCTGAAAATGGTAGGTTTATCACAGTTTTATTCATTTAATAGCAGACAACTTAATAACAAGAGTTACAGATAATGCATAGACAAACAAATTAAAAGTGATTTGTACTTGTTTGAAAACTCATGATACAGTTTAGGTCCTGTAGTTTATGTTCTAACTGAACTGATTGAAATATATCTGTTGTCTGTCGTTGTTGTTGTCTTTGTTGTTGTCGACATTGTTGTAACTTTTTTTTCACATTTTCATCTCCTTAATCCAGAATCAATTGGTCATTTGCAACCAAACTTGGCAAAAAGTATTCTTGGGTAAAGTGAATTCAAGTTTGTTCAAATGACGGGTCCCACCCTTTTTCAAGAGGAAGATGTTAGTAAGAATTATTATTATTACAAAGCAGGTAACAACATTGTCTTCCTTTGTAAGGCTCATTATATAAATGGCATTCTAGAAGAACTTGGATTTAATTCTACAAGTGGTAATCCTACTTATACTCATACTTTCCATTCTAAGGAAGAAATTCTTCAAAATTATAATGTTATTTTTAAATATTTTTAATATTCCACAGAGCCAAAATGAATTTGAATTATCCTATATGTATTGGATTCCGAAACTTCATAAGAATCCTTACAAACAAAGATATATTGCAGGTTCCAGTAAATGTTCAACCAAGTCTCTTTCGTTACTTCTCACTAAAATATTGACAGTAGTGAAGGAAAAACTTCAAGAGTACTGTACAGCTATATATTCAAGAAGTGGTGTAAATCAGATGTGGATACTAAAAAATTCTAAAGAACTTTTGAACAATTCTAAATCACAAGACTTTACAAAAATCAACAGCTTAAAAACTTACGACTTTTCAACTTTATACACAACAATTCCCCACGACAAATTAAAATCCAGGCTTTTTGTTATCATTGACAGCTGCTTCTTCAACAAAAATGGAACTCGTAAATTTACTTACCTCGTCATTGGTCATTTGAAAAATTATTTTGTTAAAACAGATTCTGATTGCACACATAAGTACTCTGAAGTTGACATCAAGAAGATGCTTGAGTTTCTGATTGACAATATCTATGTGGTTTTTGGAGACCAGGTATTCCAACAATCTATTGGAATTCCCATGGGTACAAATTGCGCTCCGTTATAAGCAGACTTATTTTTATATTCATATGAAGCAGAATTAATGCAAAATCTTATGCGTGAAAAGAAGAAAACACTTGCTGTGGCCTTCAACTCGACATTTAGATATATCGACGACGTATTGTCAATTAATAATGATAATTTCCATTCCTACGTCGACACGATATATCCTGGTGAACTTGAGATAAAAGATACCACAGAGTCCGACACTTCTGCTTCATACTTGGATATTTTACTTGAAAAAGACACTAATGGTAATCTAACAACCAAGCTATATGATAAACGTGATGACTTTAACTTTTCTATCGTCAACTTCCCTTACTTATGCAGCAATATACCTTCATCACCTGCATACGGAGTATATATATCTCAGTTGATTCGATACGCAAGAGCATGCTCTACGTATGAACAATTTCTTAAACGAGGTAAATTATTGACAAGCAAGTTGATGAAACAAGAATATCAACAGTCTCGTTTAAAGTCATCATTTCGTAAATTCTATGGTCGATACAATGACCTTGTCAGCAAATACAATTTATCATTGAATGAAATGCTGACTGACGTTTTTCATACAAATTGTTAGTCCATTATTTATACACTGAATTGACGACGGATTTTTTCCGCTATTTCCTGATTATGACAACGAGCATACGGCGGGTGTGACCGGTCGGTAGGGGATGCTCACTATTCCATGGCACCTGATCCCACCTCTGATGTTTCGGAGGTCCGTGTTTGCTCTGTTCTTTTGTTTGTATATTGTTTAATGGACGTTGAGATTGAATACTGTTCGTTATTTCCATATCCTTCCTGTCAGCTTTTCTTTATATGTAACCTATACCTTACTATTCTTTCAAAGTGTTCTAAGGATTTATGTAGCGTAAGCATACTCTGCCGAAATTGAGCACAGCTGCCATTTCTGAAGGCAATCCCACCACGCCCATACGGGGAGCGAACTCATGACCCCGAGGTTGTCAGTCTGACACGCTACCGATTACGCCACAGACGCCGTTATCTTTCTAACTGTACTATAATATACATTAACTTAACCAATAATAAAAAAAATAAACAAATTAATTTTCCTAAAATAGTTTCTGGTAATTTTGTTCCTTCACTCAACTAAAATTCATTAAAACTCTATGTTCATTATACCTAATGATTGGAATTTTCAAAATAAAAGAGAACAGATTTGAGATTATGGCGTATATATAGCCCAGCATGACATCATAATAGGGCTGTACTTACATGAATGTGAGAGGTGAGGAAACATTGGAAATGGATAAAATATTGTTATTTTTATACAACATTCAGCATAATAATAACAATAGTACAGGATGCACCATGTGTCAAACACTGACTACTATTTAGGCATAGTGCAAGCAAAACACAACACCTTTATATAAATACATGTAGTAATTGTAAATTTTGGTTGGGATCATTTAGAATTCTTTTTCTCAAGAAATACTAGGCAACATTTTTTATATCACACATAGAATCCGGGTCATTTCTCCCCAGTACCTGCTCCGCCTAGGTCATTTTCGCCCAGGTCATCTCTCTCCTGGGTCATTTCTCTCCATTACCCAGGTCATTTCTCTCCACAACCTAGGTCATTTCACTCCAACACAAAAATTATTGTGTAATAAGTTTAATTTTATTAAGTTTTGTTAAATACCATGCTGGATTTAACGCTAACTTTATTAATTATATTTCATATCATTTATTTATTTATTTATTAATTCACACATGTATTTTTTATTTATTTATGGCATCTTACATTTATTGTTTATATTATTCATAATTTAAGCATTTATGTATTCACTTATTTATTTGAATAATTATTTTTTTTTTCATAATTCTTTTATAATTTTATCCATTCCTTTATTTATTAATTTATTTGTATTAATTAATCAATTGATACAATCTTGAATTAGCTTTTCAAAAGGACAGAGGCACATGATTATTTATTTTTATTCATTAATTCTAAGACTTTTATTCCAACGTATTTGTATCGCCAAACAAAATCAATCAATAAAAGCAAAATATATTTTTATTATTTTTCTAAGATTCGAGTTTGATCAAAACTTCATCATCGGCTATGGTAAAAATTAATTATTTTAACAAATGAATTTATTTTTAATTGAGCTTAAATTTTTCTTTCAAAATTATTACCCTTAACAGAGGAGGCCTCCACAAAGCAAGGGCTGGACAACGGTATCAATTTAATTTCATTAATATCAAATATTAAATTTTCCCCTGTAAATAAAATTCCGACACATTCTCTCGTTCGAATTTTATTGGTCATAAATTGATAAAATTAAGTAACTTTACAAGACAAAAGCTAATAACACAAGAATGGATATATAAATAACTATATAAGACAAGATTAAAAATGGGGTGAAATGACCTAGGTAGGAGAGAGAAATGACCTACCGTGAAATGGTGGGAGGGAGAAATAACCTGGGAGAGAAAATTTTTTAGAGAGAAATGACCTGACACCCACACATATATCCCTTTTTCCCATGGATATCACTCTTGAACTTTTTTTTTCATATTCCACTGCTGTGGTGTTACAATGAATGTGATTTGCCATTAAGCGGTTGACAGAATATTTTTTAAAAAGGATGTTCAATATGGACATTCCTTTTCAGAATGTTTCGGAGCATTCTCTTTAATATATTGTAAACTCAGCATTCAACAAGACGCTAAGATATGGAATGCTAAAATTCTCCTGACTTCTAGTAGTTTTTCATTTTAGACTATTCATTGACAATATTAGCTTTATAATACATGTAATAAAACAGACTAAAAAGAAAATAAATTCGAAGAGGATATGTAAATGATAATTGCTATCAGATGAATTCCTACAAATATTTGATTCTTAAGTAATTAAGGGATTCCATTGAAAAATGCCCTGTATTCTCATTTCTGTAGCTGTGTGTATTTTGTTGTATGGTTCTTGTCTAAGAGATTGTTGGTATGAGTATAGAGCAGCCTGGAGGTTCCCTGTCACCTGTTGACAAATCCCCAGAATCTGCCACGATATGTCTCTGAGTTCTAACGGTATAATATCATAGTGAACTAGGGTCTGTAGATCATTTAGAGCTGTTTGTGCTCTCATTGTGTCTACATGTTTGTAGCACAAGATCTCTAGCAAGTATAACAGTATCAATGGTGGGAAATATAATGAAGACCCCTCGTACTGAAGAGCAGACTGTTGTTCTGGTATCAGTTCACCGATGTAACGGATTACTTTGTTAAGTCTTATAATCCCTGCTACAGTCTGTCTGATCTTTGTAGACCAGGACTGTCCCCCTACAGCCTCAGTATACATCTTTGTATTTACATAACCCATATACATCACATAATGCTGTGCTAACTTGACCTTGATCATCTCTATAATAGATAAAGCTTCCATGTAGCTAAGTGTCTTGTAATAATATATAGCTATATACAATATATCAGTAATAAAACCAAACTTGGCTGTTAATTTCAGCATGTGACAGGAAATTTTGTCAGCTCTATACCTCAATTTGTTTTTAGGTGTGTAAGTTTCCATGTGTAATATAAAAGCAATTTTATTAAGGACATCAGCTGTATGTTTCTGTAGCATCATGGCTTGATACTGTGTCAGGAACGGCGAACCTGTCAACTGTTCTATTACATGTAGATACTTCATACAGCATTGTGTGTTCACTTTCTATAGTGTACTGTAAAAGTGTTGTATTTCACTATATAGGTTTTTATCAAACTCAGTCTCAGAAATCAGAGTATGTTCATCTGTACAGATGGAGAGTCTGGGGTTATGTAGAATTTGTAGGACATTTATAATATAATATCTAATGGGGGGACTGTGTAGCAGGAATGTTAAACCCTTCTCATATAGCCCATACAGTCTAATAAATAGTTGATGTTGTTTGTCGCCATAAATTTTACTCAGAAACATGTTGTTATCTGGAATGAAAAAGTTAGGACAGACCCCCTCATACACCCATTTGAGAATGAGTTTAAAACAGACCCAGAAACACCCCAGGATATTTTGTGGACACCAGTGAGGCATTGCATTTTGTTGAATCACCCAGAAAACTGCTGTCTTCATGTGATAGGAACACAGTACTTTATCATTATCACTAAGTCCATTGTTAATTATTTCTGTTAAAAACAATTTAAGTAAGCCGTAAGTTAAGAATTGACAGTGGTTCATTGCATGCACAAGTTTTTGTTCTGCCATGGAGAAAGAAATTCTCCATTCATGGTCTTCATGTCTTCCTAGCTTATGTCCTATTGGTACAAAGTGACATCCATTTTTTACTATATCTTCAACAACATGAGGTTGGGGCCATGAGTAACATCTGTCTATCCATGAGGAGGCAGACCGAGGCCAAAATTCACAAACAAAACAGTGGGCTTGATCACATTCTGTTTGTCCAATTGCACTACTGGCACAGGGTCCGTGTTGAGTGGAGTTTAGTGATGATAAAGAGCACACAATCTCTCTGTACTTAGAACTAGATATATAATGTCTGTCATTCATTCTAACACAATATCTCTGAATATCTCTATACATGCTAGGTGACAGTAAATATAACAAAGTGAATCCTGGTGGACTATCAGAACAGTCACAGAGGATCAGTGTTTGTTTGTGTGTGTTGTAATACTAAGACTGAGATAATTCCCAGATTACACGGTGTTTATTTGGCCACCCCATAAAGTCTACATCTGATCCTTCCAGTCTGAATCCTTCTCTGAAACTTCCACTCACCATCACACTGTAACTTGTTGTCACTTGATTTCGCACCATATCCCAGATGTCAATCACATCTCTCCTCATAGCCACCAGTTGTGAGGTCCCCAATTTACGACACAGTCCCACAAACACTGATTCTGATATGTGTTGTATGGTATTCGTACTGAAAATGATTAAAGTGGAGTTTATATTCTTGTATAATGAATGTTTCACTTTGGTAAATCTATAATATAATTATCATAATTGATAACCTTATTAAGAAGATGGGTGGATAAGGTGGGCAGAATGCCTATAGCGCAGCAGATAAGAAGTGAAAATTTTAATTTCAATTATATCCAAATTTTATTTCATATTCCATCTAATATTTAAGTATTCTTAATGTAAAATCTAATAATTTACAAAAATCTCATAAAGACTGGAAATATTTGCCTCTGAAAAAGCATACACAGACTTAAGAGAACGAAAATGATTTTTTTTTAATACTTTAAAAAAAAATTTCAATATGAGTGGGTCTTCGCTCCATTTTTTGAAAGATAATCCTAAAAGTTTGCGATAAAATAAATATTTTTTGGTTGACAAAAAGAATGGAGTGAGACCCACTGTACCTTAAAAGTACACTTTATGACAAAACATTCACATCTTTCAAATAAATACTTCAAGTCCATTAAGTCAAGGGTTATAACACAAAAATGATTTAGAAGCCCCTAATCATCATGAGGCATACACCATAGTGGTTAGCGCGTTAGTCTCAAAACAGTATGATACTTCAGTATTTTATTGCTGGTGTTCGAATCCCACATACGTACCATCTGATATTTTCATAAATTAAATTTCTTAATATTTGATGCTATAGGCATATTGCCCGCCTTATCCCCCATCTTCTTATTGTGTTTTATTAAAACTATTTGTAGGCATTGTATATTTTTTCTTAATATTTTTTTGTTACATTCATAAATCATAAAAAATTAAAAACATTCCTCAACTTAATCGATCATTAATTTTCAACTTACTATGAATCAATCATTTTTCTTTGAAAATATTTAAACTTTATCATGCATTTTTTATAAACAAAATAGTGAGATATATAAATGAAAATGTGTCATTAAATCAATGATGTTTATGAATGTATCAGATGTTTATAATGTATACAGTGGTGAAAAAATGTTAGAACTATAAACTTTACTGTCATTAAATTACACTGAATCAGATGATCTAAACATTATCCTGTCATTAAAACTTACATTTTTGAGCTTCTAATGGAGTCCATTTTGAATTGTATAGTTTCATGTGCTATAAATAGTCTAGAAAAATTCCAATAAATCTACTTTCATTTTATAGAAATTGATATTATCTGTGCCTTTCGGATTACTATTAAAAATGATTTCATTGAAGGAATAAAAAGCCTTAAATCAGTAAACAAAGATATCAAACATGATTGAAAAATGGACAGTTTCGTCTATGGTGTACATTCTGTATAACAACTAGTTATTTCATTATTGCATGAGTAAATAAGTTTTGAGAAATAGAACAAAACAACATTTTATTTGCAATAATCTGTATGATTTGTTTAATGATAAAAATTATTTAAACTGTTGTATGTTGAAAATCATAATGATATTTTTTGGTCATAATTACTCTAATGAAAAATAAATATTTAGATTAGTAAGGTTATTTACGAAAGAGTTACAATTTAAATGCTAAAACATCATGACTTCATTGAACTATAGCTCAATAAGATACTCACTGACCCCCCCCCCCCCCCCAATTTTTTTTATCCATCTCTGAGTTATCTAAAATGAATTCTTTTCGTAAAATATACTATCAAAAAAATCTTTGATATAGATAATTTCATGAGTGACATACCTTGAGACTTACCAAGTTTTGACAAAAACCTCGTAATTACTATATAATGAATACTTTTTAGCTCAGCTTGACAAAATCAGCATTGGTCTACCAAATAAAGGTTTAGGAGCAGGTCCATTCCCAAGAAGCTATTTGTCCTACCCGGACAAAACTTGTATAGATGATGGATCTAGGAATGGACACAACCAGACTTGCTCTGGATCTGACCTACATTTTTAGCTCACCTGAGCCAAAGGCTGAAGTGAGCTTTTCTGATCACAATTTGTCCGTTGTCCGTCGTCGTCGTCGTCGTCGTCGTAAACTTTTCACATTTTCGACTACTTCTCAAGAACCACTGGGCCACTTTCAACCAAACTTGCACAAAGTATCCTTGGGTAAAGGGGATTCTAGTTTGTTCAAATGAAGGGCCAGGCCTTCATTCAAGGGGAGATAATTGGGAATTAATGAAAATTTGGTGGTATCGTATCAAAATCTTCTTCTCAATAACCGCTGTGCCAGGAAAGATGAAACTTATGGGGAAATATCCTCAGGTAGTGTAGATTAAAGTTTGTTCAAATCATGACCCCCGGGGGTAGGGCGGACCACAATGGCCGACCAAAGTTTTACATAGAAATATATAGGAAAATTCTTTAAAAATCTTTTTCTCAAGAATAGCAAAGCCATAATTGATCATATTTTTTATGGAAACATCCTCAGGCAGTGTAGATTCAAGTTTGTTCAAATCATGACCCCCTGGGGTAGGGCTGGGACAAAAATGGCCGACCAAAGTTTTACATAGAAATATATAGGAAAATTCTTTAAAAATCTGTTGGTACAAAACTCTGATTGATTATGATGCAAATGATTGACACATATGAGACAATAGATATCCCATAAACTCTTTTAATTGTGACCAATTGATGTTCACTATTCTCCTAATTTACGTCATTTCTAATTATGAAGTGGACCTATCAGAAATATCAAATTTATGTAAGTTGTTGATTGGTTGTTAGAGATTTACTGAGAATATCGAAGAACCAGTAAGAACTGTTTGATATCCTTTTGTTGATTGGTAGTTAGAGAAGTTAGAGTATTGTTGGAAAATATTACCAATCAGAATTGTTAAATATCCTCTTTTTGATTGGTAGTGAGATGTTTTATTGAGAATATCTAACCAATCAGAACCGTTTCATATGTACGAAATGATGTCACAAACATGACGTAAATTTCAGTTTTTTATGAATTCTACAGAAAAATGTACATATTTCGCAATATTCTGAGTAAAAGTCATCGAGCGCATGTGTGTTCAGGCTCAATATTTTGATATAATATGTAGAATGATAATATCAATGAAATAAGTAAATATTGTTCCTGAACAAACTTGCGCTCTTTAAATTTTTAAGCTAATATTGTTGAAATTTTGTCCATTTTGTCCTCTTTCTGAAAAAGGATATTAAATCGGACTAGTTTGTGACGTCATAAAAACAAAAATTGTGAATAAACTACTTTGAAACAATATAAACAACATCGTCTATTTTTACATCAAATACCAATCCTCAGTTTTTCTGCCAAAATCTACTCTGCTCTGTTTTTTGCCAAAAATGATATCAACAAGTATTTGAATTGAAAAGAGCATTTATTACAAATGCCAATGAAATATACAGCAGTATTGTTTGATATTAAATATATGTTACACCTGTCACAATGAAAAATTAAAAACAACGAAAAAGGTACATACATTAAAAAATGAAATGCATATCTTAAATTAGCCCTAATTAATATAGAACAACAATGCATATAGAACTCTAAGTATGTACACAATAAAAACACACATGACTCAAATGGCAAAAAAGATGGGACTTGATAAAAAAAAACATGCCCATAATAATATGTTTTGTGAATTTATATTTCTCAAACAATTTATCATGTTTATTGAATTCAGCACATTTTAGGAAGTTTTCAAATTGGACTTTGGGGGGGGGGGGGGGGAAATATATGCAATATACCGCATATAGTTCTTTCATAACTATATGACGTCTATAAGAGTAAATAACTTAATTTTAGTTGTAACACGTCTTTTGATTGGTCAAACGGTTTTATCCATTTTGTATAACATAACTTGCCTACGTCACAATGAGTTACGTCAAAAACGTATTATAATCCGCTTGACGTTAATATTTAAAATATGCTTTATTTGATGCCTTCCTATCCGAAGGAAAGAATGGAAATCTTGTCTTATTGTCCATATTGAAATAAAATTATAAGAAATGAAGCTTATTTCAACTTATGTTTTCCGATATAACAAAACTTGGGGCAGTTTAGGCTTTTTAATAAACCGCTTCGGGGTATATAAAGCGTAAACTGCCCCAAGTTATGTTATATTGGATAACATAAGTAAAAAAGTTAAAATAAGCTTCATTCCTTAAATAATATAGCAGAGTCCGCGTAACTATTGAATCATCCTCGTATAATAGAAATAATAAAAAACATAAATAATGTGTATGATACTTTTTAATAATTAATTTCAGAATAATGCCAGCTCTATCAGATACTTTAGTAAAGAAGCCAATAAAAACGGAAGGGTTGCGAATCTTTATTATTTATGTCATTAGTAAGTGATTTCAACATACAAAACTCAACTTTATTTAAGACCGGAATGTTTTTAAGTGCTGCTCTGTAAATTCATGCTTTCTCTTTATCTTAAAATATGTTTCTGATAAATAAGTCTGGCATGATTGAATCATTCCAACGATGGATACGTCCCTCTTTATGTAAGAATAACATCTAAAATCTAAACAATCATCAATTAGTCTAAATTTTCACTGAAAACAAAATCAAAACTACAACACGTTTTTGGAGCATACTCCAAATTTTAAAGAATTGCTTTTTATCGGGTTCTCATTTTTCATGCCTTTTTTTCTCTCAAAAATACATATCATAACACTCATTACATTAAGTATTATCAGTAAGTGTGTTTCGTAGTCAGAAAAACACCATCAGCTATTAAAAAAAACTTCATAATCATTAATATTTTCTTGGCATCGGTGCATTTAAGGTCATCAGGTTCATCACATCGACTGGATCAGGCTTTGGTTCTGCATTATTATTTGAAAAAAAAAATAATGTCACTGATGATCTTACTTCTAATAGTGTTTATTCACCATGTTTTGAAATTTATACGTATGTTACATAAAGGGAAATTAACTTTAATGCAACGTCTTACAAATACTGTAAACAGTATGAGTAAGGACAAGGGCCACAGGAAGAGGGAAGTTTGTATAAATAAAAATATTGAAAAAAATTTTCCATGCAGGCGTCGCACTGTCTCACTATATATATATATATATATATATATATATATATATATATATATATATATATATATATATATATATATATATATATATATATATATATATATATATATATATATATATATATTTATAAAGTGCGTGATTTTTAAAAATTAAAATATAATGTATTAAAATACGATTTGATGTGATTTTACTCAAAATATCAGCCTCAAGAATCAATATGCTGCACAATGCCAGTAATTTAAAAGGAAATTGTATTACTATCACTCCTTTTCCTCCATTTTATGTTTGTAGTTAAAAGCAGCTTGTAGAAATATTCCAGTGCTTTTTCTGATCTTTTTGCATGTTTTAAAATCAAAATTGTTATAATTTTAAGAATCCCTACACTTTATAGACTAATTTGAGGATGTCATTATTCCCTAACAAAATTTAACTATAGTTTACTATAGGTAACTATAATGAAAATTTTGACACTTTGATTTACTATGAAACTTTACTCTAGAACTTTTTTGAAGATTTAAAGCCTTAATATATCTTAAATTACATACTAATGATGTACTTTTTTGATAAAATATGTAAATATACAAGGAATACTTAAATCAATTCCAGAAAAGTATTTGTAGGAAGTTTAAAAAATAAAATATATTTATCTGAAATTCATAGTAAAAATACTTTGATTTACTAAAGTGAAAACTTTGATTAACTATAGTAAACTATAGTTACCTATAGTAAACTTAATTAACTATAGTTAACTAAAGTACTTTTTTATTAGGGTTATTATTGCATTTTACTCTCATCGAACAGAGATGAGTGTAAATCATACAACAATGTTTTACTTGATTGATTGTATATATTGTTTAACGTCCCTCTTGAGAATTTTTAACTCATATGGAGACGTCACCGTATGCCGGTGAAGGGCTTTAAGTTTAGACCTATACTCGGCACTCATGGCCATTGAGCAGTGAGGATTCTTTATCGTGCCAGCGCCTACCGTGACACGGGACCTACGTTTTTAAGGTCATATCCGAAAGACCCGTGACTTTCACTTCTAGTGCCGATAGCTTGGCGAAGGAACAGTCACTACCTTTGTTTACGTCTTAGGTATGACGCGGCGCCGCGAACGAGAATCGAACCCGGGCCTCCCGATCACGAAGCGACTAGGCTACCGTGACCGGTATGTTTTACTTGATATAAAGCCTCAGGAGCAAACCCCTTTTAGCATAATGATTACTCTATAAGTGAAGTGTGCTCAGCCTGATTAGATCCAGAATCTGCAAGAAATAGCAGGAAGCACTGTATTCAATTGATCGATACATCCATCTTTTACAAATAAATCAAGCCAATTTCAAGGTTTTGTGAATCAGCTGACATGATGTTGTTCTGTTTCATTTATATATGAACACAGATTCTTGCCTTTTTTATGTACACTACAAACATCATGCAGTGACCATTCTATTTTAATTCATAGACTGAATCTATTGAATTTCAGATAACCATGGCAGCTGGTTTGGTGAAGATGTACATTGACATTGAAGAAGACTGGTAATTTTTTGAGTTTTATTCATTAATAGTCAGATTCATAATTTAAATAACAAGGGTTACAGTTAGCGCAAACACAAAAGTAAGAGAGATATGCACTTGTTTAAAATTGCATGATACATTTGGGCCCTGTAGTTTACTTTTTAGCTTAAATGTGCTTAAGGCTCAAATGAGCTTTATTTGTTTTCTGCCATCGTTGTGTCGTCATACGTTTTTTTAACATCTTTATTCTCCATCTACAGACTCATTTGACCATTTTCAACAAAACTTGGCACAAGGTATTCTTCTGTAAAGGAGATTAAATTTTGTTTTAAAAAAGGGTGCCACCCATTTCCAAGGGGAAGAGGATAAAAAAACAGTAAACTAGTATTGGGTGGGATAATTTAAAATTCAATTCTTAACAACAATTAAGAAACTCAAAACAGTTTTATACCCCTAAGTGGATATCACTCAAAGTCTTGGTGTGAATATTTTTTTCATATCCCACTGCTGGGACGTCACAATGGGATTTTCTGTTGAGTGGTTGTAAAATATTTTTTTTTTGTTTTCAACGTGTTCAATACAGAACATACTCACATTCGGAATGTTTCTTAACAAAGAAAATATGGTATCAGAAGAAATTTATGTAAATGATATACTCTTTCAGGCGAGTTTACAAAGGTCTGACGTTTAAATAATTGAGGGATTCCATTGACAAATTCCCTGTATTCTCATTTTTGTAGCCGTGCGTATTTTGTGGTATGGTTCTTGTCTGAGAGATTGTTGGTATGAGTAAAGAGCAGCATGGAGGTTCCCTGTCACCTGTTGACAGATCCCTAGAATCTGCCACGATATGTCTCTGTAATTTAAATCTATAATCTGTCCCTCATCATATTGAACTAGGGTCTGTAGATCATCTAGAACTGTTTGCGTTTTCATTATATCTACATGTAGGTAGCACAAGATCTCTAGCATGTATAACAGTATAAAGGGTGGGAAAGTTAATGCACACGTCTTGTTCTGTAGACTAGCCTGTTGTTCTGGTATCAATTCACTGATGTAATGTATTCTATCGTCGAGAGTAATATGCCATGCTACAGCCTGTCTCATTTTTGTAGACCAGGACTGCCCCCCTACAGCTTCAGTGTATATTTCTGTATCTTCATTTGACCTATACAACACATATGGCTGTGCTAACTTGACCTTGATCATCTCTATAATAGATAAAGCGTTCATGTATCTAAGTGTCTTGTAATAATACATGGCTATATACTGCATGTCAGTAATAAAACCAAACCTGGCTACTAATTTTAGCATGTGGCAGGAGATTTTGTCAGTTCTATACCTCAGTTTGTTTTCAAACATGTTAGTTTCCATGTGTAATGTAAAAGCAGTTTTACAAAAGACAAGAGATGCAATTTTTTGTAACATTATGACTTGAAACTGTGTCAGCAAGGGTAATTCTATCATCTGTTTTATTGTATGTAGATATCTCATACAACTTTGTACGTTAGAATTGAAGTAAACTGCCTCATTTCTTGCTATTTCATTATATAGGAATCTATCAAACCAAGCCTTAGAAATTAGAGTTTGTTCATCAGTACAGATGGAGATTCTGGGATTTTGAAGGACATTTATAATATGAGACCTAATGGAGGGACTGTGTAGCAGGCATGTTAAACCCTTCTCATACAACCCATACAGTCTCGTAATTAAATGGTGTTGTTTGTCTCCATGCATTTTACTCAGAAACATGTTGTTTTCTGGAATGAAAAAGTTAGGACAGACCCCCTCATACACCCATTTGAGAATGAGTTTAAAACAAACCCAGAATCCACCAAGAAGATTTTGTGGACACCAGTGAGGTATTGTATTTTGTTGAATCGCCCAGAAAACTGCTGTCTTCGTGTGATAGGAACACAGTAATTTATCATCATCATTTAGTCCTTTGTTAATTATTTCTGTGAAGAACAGTTTAAGCAAGCCGTAAGTTAAGAATTGACAGTGGTTCATTGAATTAATAAGTCTTTGTTCTGCCAAAGAAAAAGAAATTCTCCATTCATGGTCTTCATGATTTCCAAGCTTGTGTCCGATTGCAACAAAGTGACATCCACTTTGTACTATATCACCAACAACATCAGGCTGGGGCCATGAGTGACATCTGTCTATCCATGAGGAAGCAGATGGAGGCCAAAAGTCACAAACAAAACAAAAGGCATGGTCATATTCTAGCATTCCAAATGTCCCATTGGAACAAGGTCCATGAAGAATGTAGTTGGATGATGTTGGACACATTATATGCCTCAATTTCGAACTAGATATATAATATCTGTTATACATTGTTACACAAACGCTCCGAAGGAATCTGTCCATGCTTGGTGACAGTAAATATAACAAAGTAAATCCTGGTGGACTATCAGAATAATCACAGAGGAACAGTGTTTGTCTGTGTGTGTTATAATACTGAGACTGAGATAATTCCCAGATCACACGCTGATTCTTTGGCCAGATCATAGAGTCTAGATCTGATTCTTTCAGTCTGAAACCTTCTCCTTGACTTCCACTCAACATCACACAGAATCCATCAATTGTCGTTTTGTTTTCTACCATATCATTGATGCCCATCATATCTCTTCTCATGGCCACTACTTTTGAGGTCCCCACTTTTAGGCACAGTCCCAAAAACACTGACTCTGATATACGTTGTATGGCTGACCTGGAAATAATTATACAAATATGGACTCAATGTAGGTCAATATGCATTTATAATGACCCAAGGTGACAGATATTGACCGAAGATACATGGAGTATATCGACCAAGGGCGCTAGCCCGAGGTCGATATACTCCATGTATCTAAGGTCAATATCTGTCATCCTGGGTCATTATAAATGCATATTGACAGTGCATTTAGTCCTTATTTATTATATTATATGAATAATATTTTCCCATATTTATTAATATCACATCCAATTCTATTCGAATTGGAGGCTTTTATCGAAGAAAGTGTTAATTTCCCATATTACAAAATCCATAGATCCGCCTATAATCCCTATAATCAATTAGAGTTATTCCCCCTGAGTCAACTTCCGTTAATCCTTTTTCATTCACAGATTATATGAATGAGGTTGGTGCAATTTTAAAGGATAATTTTTTGCAAATTTAGATATTTAGAAAAATAGTTAATGGGTATAATACATATGGATGTTTTTGTTATCTATTTGGTAGTTGTTTGCTGCAATCAATTTAGGAGTATTTATTCATGATTTCCCGATGATCCTTGATTTTATAATGATAATTTTTTCTAGCGTCTGTTGTGGCCATTTTGTATTAGCCGACCACGTTGTATCTATATAAGTTTTCATTAAAACAGATTATATGATGTAAGTATGTGATAAGATATAATGATTATTAAGTCAATTATCTTGATCGTTAGGATTTATATCATATTGCTTTGGCTTAATTAAATTTTCTTTGTTTTATAAATTGATCCGACACGTTTCAGATTTCCATACCAAGGGGAGATTAAAAAAAAAAAAAAATAAAAAAAATAAATAAAAATAATAATAATAATAATAATAAAAAAATAATAATAATAAATAAATAAATAAATAAAAAATTAGGCTAACTTTATAAAAAGAAATAATAAAGCATGTGAGAATGAGGAGATAATTAATTTAAATTTCTTCTTACAAATATAAAAAATAATATATAAATTATATATATATATAAATAAAGAATTTTCTTTTCTTTTCTGAACACGATGCCACCAAGAGCTAAGAAGCGTAGAATGGCTCAACCAGCAGCGACTGCCAGTGCCACACAGCAGCCAAGTGGTAGTCAGGCTACGGTGTCTGTGAATTACCAGACGTACTCGTCGACGGCGTCGGCAGGATGTCCAGTACATGTACCAATACCACCGACCCAGGCTCCATCAACTTCCGTTGTGGGGGAAGCGCAACCCATGTTGACGACAAGTGCAGGGCCATCCTTTGCACCGACCACCTCTGGAGCAACAATCTCAACTCCAACAGATGTTGGTACCACCCCTGCTCCTGTCCCATCAATACATATGATTGGTATGAATGTTTCTAGCACAGTCAAACAACGTATTATTAGTGGGCAGTATATTGATTTGGCCACATTGGTAACACCAAAATCAGGGTCTGATGAAAAGAAATTAGTTATGAATAGTATGGGTGAGATAATTTATAAAGATGCCAACCCAAAAAAGGTAGAAAATATTGAGCAATGGACTGACCTTATGCTCATATTTGCAAGTGTGTACTTGAGTGCACATCCCGCCAAGACTCTTGACCTACTTAAGTACATACAGACCGTAAGAATGGGTGTTAGCAGGGGGGCTATATCTTGGAAAGAATATGATACGCAGTTTAGGCTGCGCAAAGAGCAAAATCCTGTGTCTTCTTGGGGTGAAATTGACTCGGAATTATGGTTGATGTATATGCATTCTGGGCCCGCTTATAACGTAACAAATGCACCCAAAACCAATAATGATAAATGCTTCAATTTCAATTACAAGGGATCTTGTGACAAATTCCCATGCATGTATAAACACAGTTGTATTCGATGTGGTAGTAACCATCCACAGATACATTGCCTTACACAAGCCTCAAACACTGGGTCCGCACAAATATTTCGCCAACAAAATTCAAGTGGTCAATTCTATGGACAGTCAAGTTTTCGTCCACAAACCACCAATGCAAATACCAACTATAAGGGGTATTCAACCAATGCAAATACCAATTATAGGGGGTATTCCAGCAGCAACACCCAGCGCCCCACCTACTCAAGACCAAGATTCCGCACCCCGCAATCTATGGCGTCTAGGTTCAACGCCTATTAATGTACACGCCCTTAAAAAATGTCTCGTCCACTATCCTAACAGAATCATAGCAAATCGCCTAATCCAAGGGTTCTCTCAAGGGTTTAAACTTCATTATCATGGGCCTAGATTACCAATTCAATGTAATAATTTGAAATCCGCGGACGATCATCCTAATGAACTTAAAGAGAAAATCGATAAAGAAATTGAAATGGGGAGGATACAGGGTCCTTTCACGAAAATACCAATTTCTAATCTTAGGTTATCTCCAATTGGGCTAGTGCCGAAGGGGGATAATTCGGGCTGGCGTCTAATAACGCACCTCTCTTTCCCGAAGTTTAGTAGTGTAAATTCATACATAGATCCTTGTGAAACTGCTGTACAATATTCATCCTTTGATTCAGTTATTCAGATGATTGCTAAATTAGGGAAGGGGGCTTTCATAGGTTAGCGAGATATAAAATCCGCATTTCGACTTCTTCCAATATTTCCCGGCGATTTTGATCTCCTGGGTTTTAAATTTCAGGGTAATTATTTCATAGACAAATGTTTACCTATGGGGTGCTCCATTTCGTGTAAGGTTTTCGAGGATTTTTCTACAATTTTGCAGTGGGCTACGATACAGCGCTCTAAAACATCAACAATGGATCATTATCTAGATGATTTTATATTTGCTGGGAGGGATGCCCATTCCTGTCAAGATCTTATGTCGAATTTTCAAGACGTCTGCGATGATATAGGTGTTCCTATTGCCGAGGACAAATCTGAAGGCCCTACTATGGTTATGACATTTTTAGGTTTTGAGATAGATACTTATCATATGCTAGTTAAGATCCCCAATTCAAAATGCTTAGAGCTACAGGGTATTTTACACCATCTCGTTGTTCAACGCAAGATGACACTCCAACAATTACAATCTGTTTTAGGTAAACTGAATTTCTTTACAAGAGCCATAAGACCAGGTAGGGCATTTCTGCGTCGGCTTTATAATGCTACAATAGGAGTTTCAGAATTACATTGTCACATAAGGATAACTCAATCAATGCGACAGGACTTGTACATGTGGATTAATTTTCTTGAATCATTTAATGGGACTGTGTATTTTTTAGATATTGAGTGGACGTCAGACAACAACATTAATTTTTACACAGATAGTTCCGGTTCGTCTTACTTGGGATGTGGTGCTTATTTCAAAAGGGAATGGTGTTTTTACCCTTGGCCAGAGACCTGGGCGTCCAATGACCTACTTAAAGACATGACCTTTTTAGAGTTAGTTCCGGTGGTCTTGGCCGTCTATTTATGGGGTAACAAACTCGCTAATAAAAAGATCATTCTCCATATAGACAATCAAGCTGTAGTCGCTATAATAAATAAACTCACTTCTAAATCAGAGCGGGTCATGAAACTACTTAGACCATTTGTCCTTGCTTCTATGAATTATAATATTCTGTTTCGTGCAGTTTACATACCAAGTAAAGACAATGTAGTTGCTGATTCAATTTCTCGTAAGCAGTGGGCCAGATTCCGACAAGCAGCTCCACATGCCAGGGAACACCCTTGCCCAGTGCCCCTATCTTTCCGCAACATCATCTCCAGCCTGAGTTTGCTAAACTTTTAGACGCCTCAGTATCTGAAAACACACATAAATCTCATCGGGCTGGAATGGCAGCATATTACAAAGTATGTAGACTCATTGATTGCACGCCATGGTCCCCTACATTAAACTCAGTCGTGCAATTCGTTTTGCATTCATCATCATCCGGCCTCGCATATGGTACCGTGAGGTCATACTTGTCTGCCATTTCATTTTATTGTAAATTGCAGAGTGTTCACGATCCAACCCCAGAGTTCTTGGTTACAAAGTTATTGCAGGGCATGAAACGTTTGAGACATAAAGTAGATACTAGACTGCCAATAACGAAAACAATTTTGCTAAATATTATTCAAGTTCTGCCCATAATATGTACCAATGCTTTTGAAACAGCTCTTTTCTCGGCTGCATTTTCCCTGGCATTTCATGGATTTTTAAGAGTTGGCGAATTAACAGTTAATACAAGAGAAGGTGATCAACAAAACACAATTCAATTCGACAATTTGTCCATTAATCACGAAACGCAATCTCTCTTACTGACTATCCGGTATTCGAAAACGGACCAGTTAGGTAAAGGCACAGTACTTCAAATAGATAAGCAGGGTGGTGTAGCATGTCCATATCAGCTCATTACTAAATACGTCAGCATCCGTCCAGAGGGTTCAGGTACATTATTTCGACACTTCGATTTATCCCCACTCACACGATATCAATTTACGGGGGTACTTTGTAAGGCAGTAAAGCACCTAAATTTGCCTGGTATCTCAGGATACAAATCTCACTCTTTTCGTATCGGCGCGAGTACTGATCTCGCGTTAAAAGGATTTTCAACGCATGACATTCAGAGATCTGGTCGTTGGAAATCTGATTCTTACAAATCCTACATTCGCATACCAAAGTTTTAATCTAATTTTAGATATACAGACAATATGGTTGGTGGGTTCATCAATAATCAAGCACGCCTTTTTGGAAGCTGTATTAAGACCAGGTGGTACAAATTTGACATTAGAAAGAAAACACATCTCACTGTGGTGGCAGGGTTATAGTGGCCTCCAGTTAAGTAAAACTAAACAAAAGATTAGAACTCTTGGAAAGGTGGGCCCTGTACCTAATTTCATCCTTATACATTGTGGGGGGAATGACTTGGGCAATGTATCGATCAGAAAAATAAGGGTGGTTGCAAAGCAGTTGGTTTTATTTCTAAGGAATCACTTTCGAAACGTAGGATTATATGGTCATTTATACTTCCGCGTCTCCAATGGCGCTATTCAGCAAATTTAAAAGCTGTGGAAAATGCACGCAAACGGGTTAATTCTGGTATAGCTGCAATTGTCTTGCAATCTGGGGGCGCAATAATTCGCCATTCAGACATTAAACCTGATCCAGCTTTATTTTTACAGGATGGGGTACACTTA